CAGCCGCGCGGTAAGCTACGTCGCCTTCTTTTCTGGCGAGTATATTGCATGGTTTGGGCAGGATTTCCTGTGTATTATTGCGACAGCAGTTTTGCGTTACATACGTGACAGAAGATGTAAGAAAGGCGTGGTAGAAGGCTGCCACGGACTGTAAGTTGCTGGTACAACATCGGACAGGCAGGTCCGGGGCTGTAAATTTACCCCGAGCCGTGCCTATCTAGCTCTATGCCTGAGTGAGCAATGTTAGGCTCAGCATGATTCTAGGTGTGTACATGTAGATAGTCTCCGTCGGCGATGTCGTAGACTTGCCCCGTGCACGGTTCTAGAGAGGCGTGGACCATCGTAGTCTCAGCATGGTTCTGGATAAAGCACGGTTCTGGGATACACCTTCTCACAGACCGGCGTATGCACGGTACATGTACGTCTCAGGTTGCACAAACAGAACACCGGAGGTTTAAACATGTAGGCGTTCAATGGTGATGACGTTTGCGGCTCGTCTTTGTAATTGCGTCTTTAGTTGCTTCGTTGAGAGTCTTTTTTACAAAACCAACACGACGCGGGCAACATTCACCGTAAGTCGTCATACGATTTTGATGTCGCACAGTTTCAACCAACCGCCGACAATTAGCAAGGATCTATGAATTCCGTGAGAAGATAGCTGGACTTTTCAGGACACATGTACGACTATCCCATCAAGCATCTTCAGTTTGCGATCGTATGACGATCGTATACGCACGACGTATGTGACTGAATCCCTATATCTATAAGTCATTCTCGCGTTTGGTCTATACTTCTTGGATGCCCATCTCGGCCTTGTCTCGTTAATGTAGTTGGCTGTTGTGGCGACCAAAGCCTAACGAGTTTACGGTGTTCTGTAACCCATTTGATGACTTCAATAGATAATGAAAAAAATCAAATTTTATAAACTTGCTGTCCGGTAAGGATGAAAAAGCAGCTTGCAGGTCAATTGCCATCCACTTTCTAACTCATTCTCATACGTGCGTCATGCATATTGTCCTTTTCACATTGCAAGTGTTTCAGTAACAAAGGAAAAAACGGTATGAAGCGCCTGCATCGACGAGCTCTTTTGCACACCATGATGTTCACCATTTATTATTAATAGTGACTTATAGGCTATGTTGATTTGATTATGTGGATGACATCCTCTGGGAACCCAAAAAATTATGCGAGCGTGCAAAGAAAAAAGGTGTGGCAAAACGTTGCCGTCATTATGAAATATATGTGGTCATGAAGGTTGAACAGTTGACTGAACACACAGAGTATGGTGTGGCGAATGATAGACTCCTCGTTTTCATTTCTTTACATTTTCT